CTTTGTAATTTTGCCTTCTTCTTAGCAATAATAGTTTAAACTCACCCTAAACAAAAACCGCATGAGAAACGATCAGCTCTGAGGCCAAGAGTCGCAGGGTAGCCGTGAGCTATGATTACTGATCACTCGCACAGGCACCTGGGTGACAGAGGCAAAACTTTCTCTCTAAAAAATACAAATCCGCTGGAATCTGAAGTATTTGATAGACAAGAAAAATAAATAAATAAATAAATAAAAAATAAACCATGAGGAATATGTCACACTAGAGACGCAACATTCTTCTCTCAGAAATCAACCTTGGCCGGGCGCATGTGGTTCACGCTGATAATCCTAGGCAACTCTGGAAGGCGAGGCAGGTGGATTGCTCAAGTCAGGAGTTCGAAACCAGGCTGAGCAAGAGCAAGCCCCCGTCTCTACTAATAAGTAGAAAGAAATTAATGAGCAACTAAACAAAGATATAGAAAAACAATTAGCCGGGCATGGTGGCGCATGCCTGTAGTCCCAGCTACTCGGGAGGATGAGGCAGGAGGATCTCTTGAGCCGCAGGAGTCGTGAGGTTGCTGTGAGGCTAGGCTGACGCCATGGCACTCTAGCCTGGGTAACAAAGTGAGACTCTGTCTCAACAACAACAACAAAAACGAGTCAAGTAATCCTCAGTAAGAAATGTTGGAATAAGCGAGACAACGAGGCACTAGAATTCTGGGGGGGGAAGCATCTACAGAGGGCCAGAGAAGGACAGTAAAGGAAATGATACCAGTGACATCATGGCAGCCGAAAGGAGGAGACACTTTTTCTAGAAGTGAGATTTGTTCATAGCATCAGATACTACAGAGAATTCTCTCTGAAGCATACTTTGTTGGCTTTTCCCATATGGGAGTCACTTATCGAGCATAGTTGAAGGCACTTTAGCTTGGCTTAATGGGGGCAGAGGCACGTTGCAGTAGAGTTGAATTACGACAGGGAGCCAAGGAAGTGAGATAGTGAGCGTGGACTAGTTTTCTGAAAATCAGATCTGGGCTTCTTTTAAAAGTAGCCAATATCAACTACCTTCGTGTTAGATAACAGATGTACAGAAAGGTGAATGTCAACATTTCTCTTCCATTCAGCAAACAATTGATTGGGTGCCTTGGCCGTGGGGGTATGAAAGAACAGGATTCGTGATCACTGTCTCCAAGGTGGGCATACAAGGCGCAGGAGACACACATCAAGGTCCAGCGAGCCAAGCAAAGCAAGGACAGGCATAAATTTCTATCAGCAAGAAGGGGCTTGGGAGTCTGAACTCTTCAGCAGAGGAAATGAGCATGAGAGCTGGACTTGAAAGATAAGTAGACAGTTCACCTGGTGACGGTGGGGAGGCATTCCAGGCTGGAGGATGCACATGAAACGGCATGGCCCATGGAGATGTCAATGTGTCTGCGTGTTTGGGATCGAGCTAACAGTTGAGAGCGGCTACACTGGAGGCTGGCTAAGGGGAGGCTGTGTGAAGGAGGTCTTTAGCATTGTTAAGGAGTCTGGGCCGGCGGGCGGTGGCTCGACGCTCTGTTAATCTAGCACTCTGTGAGGCCAAGGGGGGGGATGGCACTCAAGGTCAGGAGTTCAAAACCAGCCTGAGGAAGAGCGAGACCCTGTCTCTACTAAAAATAGAAAGAAATTAATTGGTCAACTAAAAATATATAGAAAAAATTAGCTGGGCATGGTGGCGCATGCCTGTAGTCCCAGCTACTCGGGAGGCTGAGGCAGGAGGATGCTTGAGCCCAGAGATTGAGGTTGCTGTGAGCTAGGCTGACGCCACGGCACTCTATTCCGGGTGACAGAGTGACACTCTGTCCAAAAAAAAAAGGAGTCTGGACTTTATTCTATAATGGAAATGATGGGAAGACTTTGGAGTTTTTTGTCCTTTTTTTTTTTTTTTTTTAGCCAGATTGGTCACATGTGGAGAATTGGAAGGTCAAGCTGCAAGCGGGGAGACCATTTGAGAGACTTCCATAGTCGTCTGAGCAGGAGAGGACCAGGGCCTGTTCTAAGCCAGTGGCAAGACGTTGGGGGAGAGCGAAATAGAAATGGAGAAGTCAGGGAGGCGAGCTGATTCAGGAAATAAAGATAACGACTTGATTTTAGATCAATCATAGTGAAATGATTAAGCTCCTGGCTCTGGAATCAGGAAGAGCCCGGGCCCGGCAACAGCCCAGCTACGTGGCCTTAGACACGTTATTTAACACCTCTGAACCTCAGCTTCTTCGTCTACACAATGAGAATAATAAAATATCTACATCGTGGGATTGTTAGGAGATGTAAAGGAGATGACATATGTGATATGCTCAGCACAGGACCCCTGACAGAGTAAGTACTCGATAAGTGTCAGCTATTATTAATTTTACTGCAAGCTAAATTTCGGCGACTGGTGGAAACGTCTGATAGATGATTGGAGATATGAATTGAAGTGCAAAAAGAAGGCATGGACCAGAGATTTCTGATTCCCCTTGTAGGGATAACACTTGATCTAGGGGAGTGGCTGAGCCTCTGAATTTTGCAGAATGCTCACATTTAGAGGTGGTAGGGGAAAGGGTCCAGAAATTAGTGGCCCGAGAGGGAGGGAGAGGTTCTTACCTTGGAGGGGCTCTTTAAATTGCTAAATCAGTGGTTTCATCTGAGTCCGCAGTCTCTGACACCTCTGTGGCATTGGATGCAAGTGACCTCTTAAAGCCTTCTTTTAGAAACTCTCTTCTTCAGTTTCCATGGTGTTCTGTTCTCTTCCATCTTCTCTGATTATGCATGCGCGTCCCAGCCGAGAGCCTTAATAGAGCGCGCTTCCTGCAGCCCCTGTTCTACCAACGCCCAGACTAAAACGCCAAAGCCTGGAAGTGGCGCTTCCTCAAGGTCCACGGCCAGTTGTTCCTTCGCTGTCGTTCCCCCCTTTCCTCACTTCCCATGCTTCTTTGCTCTTTGCTCTCCCATACTCACTTCCTCTTTCTATAAACTCATCTGTCTGCGTGGCTTCTAGTATTGTTTTTTCGGCTTTTGATTGCCCAATGGAAATCTCCTGCCCTTGCCTGTCTTCAGCACTGCTATCTCACCCTTCCTACGTCAGCTAGAATGTTCCACTAACCCCTCACACTTAGCGTGTCTGAACATCCTCTTTCCCCGTATGGCTGGCTCCCCTCTGTGACTCCACTATCCTATTAATGGCACCTCCATTCCCCTCCTCAGCTAATCCTTTACCAAGCCTGGTCAATTAGTCCTATATAAACGGCCATGTGGCACAGTGGTTAGGAAACCTTAAAGATGTTTATTTCGGCCAGGCGAGGTGGCTCACGCCTGTAATCCTCGCACTCTGGGAGGCCGAGGTGGGTGGATTGCTCGAGGTCAGGAGATCGAGACCAGCCTGAGCAAGAGCCAGACCCCATCTCTACTAAAAATAGAAAGAAATTAATTGGACAACTAAAAATATAGAAAAAATGAGCCGGGCATGGTGGCGCATGCCTGTAGTCCCAGCTACTCGGGAGGCTGAGGTAAAAGGATCGCTTGAGCCCAGGAGTTTGAGGTTGCTGTGAGCTAGGCTGATGCCACAGCACTCTAGCCCGGGCAACAGAGTGAGACTCTGTCTCAAAAAAAAAAAAAAAAAAAAAAGATACTTATTTCTCCAAGCTTCATCTTTTTCAAAAGAGAAGATGGAGTCCCTGGAAGGTAAAGTCACATAGCCTGAAAATGGAAGTCAAGACTGGAACCCAGAGATACTGGAGCCATAGGCCAATGGAGTTTGTACCACACCATATTGCCTTGTGCGATCTTATTAGATCTGTCACTTCTTTTTCATCACTACTGTCACCTCCCTAGATCAAATCTTTATAACTTCATGCTTGGATTGTTGACACAGCCTCCTGCCCACCCTTGCAACTGCTAGTCTACCCAATTCCCAGTTCATCCTGCCAAATTAATCTCCCTAAACATCATTTCCATCTTGTCATTCCCCTCATTGAAAAGCTTTTAGTGATTCCTCATTGCCTACAAAATAAAATTCAAACTCCCAAGCCAGGCATTAAAACTCCTCCCAAATCTGGTGGAGTTCCCATACCACCCTTTTATAAGTCTAAACCCTATGGCCCAGCCCTGCCCAATACTCTGTGTTCCCTGAAAAGTTCAGCACTTTCATGCTTTCATGCCTTGTGACATTTTTACATATTCTTCTCACAGCTTTAAGTGTCCCTTCTTTGATTTTCCTCCTGTCCAATTCTTATTCATCTTCCAAGGCCCAACTCAAATGTCCTAGGCCATGAAGACTTTTCAGATTCCCCTGGTCAGAATGAATCTCTATGACAATATATGTGACAGGACTAGCTGTCATGGTGAGGTGTTCAGTAAACGTGAGTTCCCATCCCCCTTCCTTTGATCACCTGCGTCCCCCCAACGTATTGCTAACACCCCTGTTTAACACTTATTTCACGTACCCTGTAGTAGGGCCAGTCAGTTGAACAACAGTGAGACTTATTCCACTCATTTCGCATCCTCCGCAGCCCCTAACAGAGTTCCTGCCACACGACAGGTACCTAACAAATATTTATGGAAATGAAAACTGGACTGGGAAGCCAAGGCTTGAGACATCATCTCATTAGGAATTCAGGAAAACCAACTCCTGTTGCTGAACATGGAGTGACATGTTGAGAGAAGAGAAATCTGGGAAACCTCGCTGGCGAACGTCCAACAACGCTCTTTAGAGCAGTCTCGGTACGTTCAACCTGACAGTGTGCTTGCGGGTAATGAGGTAGGAAGGGTGACAGCTCAGATAAGGGTCTTGTCCACACGTTCTTTAAAATAAGCTGAGGTCAATGCAGGCCCATCAACCCTGGCCAGGGGGTGCAAGTAGCTGAAGGGAAGAGTGACTGGTGCTGAAGAGAGAGGCGCCGGCCGCAGGGCTCTTAACGGCCATTTATAAAAGAAGGCTACGACGATCCAGAAATTAATCTTCCCCGGGAAAGGCATTCTTGATTGAGCTCCCTGGATCATTCCCTTGGAAGAGTGGAAAGCTGTGATGGGCGATGCAGGCCAAGTAGAGTTGGCATGTGTGAGACACCTGTGTGGTCTCTCAGTAGTAGGGGCTGTTCCAGGCCATTCTGGACACAGCTTTTAGCTAACACTGCTGTGCAGATCATTCCAGTTCTGGAAGGGCTGCTTGTGATAGGACCAAGATGAAAAAAGACGACTGGATTCTCATGCTGATGGCTAAAGGACAGCTTGAAGGCCTCACTCAAGTTGTTTCTTGGCTGGCCACCCCCATTCATTCATTCAGTCGTCATCAAACTTATCCTGAACACCTACTATGTGCCAGGCACATAGGTGATGATACAGAGATGAATGGTTCTTGCCCTTAAAAAGTACGTTGTCTAATGGAGGAGACACACAAGTAAACGGACAACACCGTGGACTGAGAGAACTGCCATAACAGAGATATGCAGGCCATAACAGGAGAGAGAGAGACAGAGAAACTGAAGAGAATAAAACCTAAGCTCAAGGCCGGCGCAGTGACGCACGCCTGTAATCCTAGCACTCTGGGAGGCCGAGGTGGGCGGATTGCTTCCCGAGAAGACACCCACAGCACACTTCGACAACACAACTGAAGCAAGACAGCGAACACACAGTTAACCTCTCTCATCATAAATAGCACAAGATAATCTCGCACACAATACCATATACGACAACAAATTAGCTGGCGCATGGTCGGGCACCATGCCTGTACTCAGCACCTCGGGAGGCTGAGGCAGAAGGCATTGGCTGTCGAGCCACGCGAGTCGTGAGGTTGCTGTGCAGCTACGCGCTCGCACACGCACGCGCCATCTCACTCTAGCCTGGGCAACAAAGCAAGACTCTGTCTCAAACAAAAACAAAAACAAGATATTGCCCTTACTTAGAGTTAATAAAAGAGTAAACAGAAAAAAAATAAAATCTAAGCTCCTGAATTTAGCACAAAAGCTCGCTGACTACCTCTCACCACTCCTCAGCCTGTGCGTGTGAAGGGAAGAATAACTGAGCTGAATTTCGATAAATGAAGAAGGATTGGTAACAAGATGGGGGAATGGTTTTATAGGCAGATTTTATCCTAAAGGCAGAGAGATGCTAATGAAGGACTTTGAGCAGGAGAGTGAGATGATCAGATATACATTCTAGAAAGAACACTCAAAGTTTGGAGAACAGATTGCAAGAGGCCATGAATGGAGGTAGGAAGATAGGAAGCAGATTTACTAATCCAGTTGGAAGATTATTGGAGTCTGTACTAAGGCAACAGGGTAGAAAGAAAGAGGAGTCAAAAGACATGAGGAAGGCCTACGGGGTGGCTTATGCCTGTAATCTTAGCACTCTGGGTGGCCAGAGGTGGGAGGAGCTCAGGAGTTTGAGACTGGCCTGAGTAAGAGCGAGACCAGAGACCCATAGTGGCAGTGGCACGTGCCTGCACTTCCCAGCTACTCAGGAGGTAGTAGGATCGCTGAGGCAGGAGGATCACTTGGGCCCAAGAATTTGAGGTTGCAGTGAGCCATGATGTGATGACATCACTGCACTCTAGCCCAACTCTGTCTCAAAAAAAAAGGAAAAGAGAGAGGGCACAAGCCCAGCTTAAAATGCCATCCAGTTTGGGAATCCCACACTACGTATGGTGGCTTTGAGCACTCTGAAGAGAGGTAGGCTATGAAAATCTTCTGACATACAGATTTTTACTATAAGGGGTACAGCAGTGTGGAATTGGAAGTAGCAGCCTGATCAGGCCATCAACATCGGAATTGCTCTTCCAGGCTCAGAGACAAACTTATAATTAAAACTGAGAAAGGGCCGGGCGCGGTGGCTCACGCCTGTAATCCTAGCACTCTGGGAGGCCGAGGCGGGCAGATTGCTCGAGGTCAAGAGTTCGAAACCAGCCTGACCAAGAG